TTGACCTTCGATGCTTGGATGCCCGTGGACTCATCACACGGAGGGCTGATTCCGCTTACTGACAAGATGGCCTCAAAATGGAACAGCACCACCCCTGCCTCACGCCCCCCCCTCCCCCCCCCCCCGTTCTTGTTTGATGAGCCCTCAAGCTGGGTGTCAGCTGGCTTTCATGCAACCAGCTAAGAGACACGAGGTCCAATTGAAAAACTGATTAGTTTTGAGATAACGATTTGGGTGGTGTGTTTTTTTTAACGGGGGGGGGGGGGGGCCGAGATTTCTATGTAAAAAGAATTTAAAAACGGGGCAATTTGAAGGACGGGGGAAAAAAAAAAAGATCGGTCCATCCACCTTCTAAAGCAGGGGTCGCCACAACCTTTTGGACCTCAGGGACCACCAAACTCACCATTTTAAATCCCGCGGACCAGAGACCCTGGGAAAATCCCTCAAAAAGTCTGCAGGAAAATCCCCCCCGCCCCATTTTTCTACCGATTGATCGTTCTTTATTTGGGATCGCGGGATACCGTCTCCAGCTCCGTTCTCAGGGGCAGAGAGAGAGAGACTTTTGGCTGCGTGCAAGGAAAGCAGCAGAAGTCTTCCTTTCTCTCCCCCAAACTCCACCAGAAATGAGTCTTTGTGAGACTTGTAGCGCTGGCGCAGCCTCTCGGAGCAGGAGGCCTTGCAGGGTCTCATTTCTGATGGAGTTTGGGGGAGATAAAGAAAGACTTTGGCTGCTTTCCTTGCGCGCAGCCAAAACCAGAAGCGGAAAGCAGCAGCCCAGTGGCCAGGCCAGGCACATGGGGCAAGCGACACATGCTTTTGTGTTCCCGTGCGGCCTGGATTAATTGCTTTGGGGCTTGCTTTGAGGGTGACATTTCTCTGCAGACCACCAAAATTTTCTCGTGGACCACCAGTGGTCCCCGGCCCGCTGCTTGCCGACCACTGTTCTAAAGAGTCCAACTTCCCTTCCAAATTCTGCCTTCAACACGTTGGCTTAAACGAAGGCCAGATGGGCGCGCTACTTAAATTTACCGAATTAAATGAAGGAAATGAACAGAGGAACTGGCGAAGGAAGGAAAGAATAAATAGTAAATTCGGAGTCAAGTCTGGTCTGGTGGTTAGATTTGCTAAAAATTGTGGCTGAGTTTACGTTTTGGTTTTACATTACATACATTACCTTCCAGTCTGAAAATTAACTTTTGGACATAGTGCAACTCAAGGAAACGTGGACCCAGGAAACCACGGTTTGTGATCCGCCAAGTTGGCTTTCGGCAGCCCATCACAACCATTCAACAATCCTAGCGGTTTTGCAGTTTGTAAAGTGAGCCGATATAAAACAAGTGTTTTATGTGGCACGGCTTTAGTTATACCAGTGAGGGGGAAAATAAATAAATAAATAAATAAAGTATTTGTGGTCAAAAGTGTTGAATTTCCCAGGGTGAAAAACTCAACTTTTTTTTAGCAACGAGGGTTAATTTTAAAATGGGGAGGTGGCTTGTGACCTTTGGTTTTTAAGCATTTGTAGTCAAATCAAGAGCTGAATTTTGGGATGAAACATTCATTTTGGGATGTTTGGTTGCTCTCGACTTTTTAAGGATTAAAAAGACAAATTCCTTGTGTGCCCAATCACGCTTGGCCAATAAAAGAATTCTATGTTCTATTAATTTTCAAACAGAAGGACTGCAATTTTGCCTCATCTGCAAGAAACCATCTTTTTAAAAACAAAAGCCGCCATCCCTCTGCCTCAAATAATGTTTCATGAAATCCAAGCGTTCCCCTCTTAAATCGAGAGCAAAATTCACCATCGCTTCGGCTCCCAACAGGCACCAAAAATAAAGCCACGTTTGTCCATTGTTACAGGATGGAAAACAACAACAACCCTGCGAATTGTTGGCAAACCAGGTTATTTCCACCACCGCCCCTTCCTACCCACCCAAAACCTGGTTTCCTTTATTCTGGAGGGGACTTTCCTAACCATCTTTGGACACAAAAACCCGCAAAGGAAGTGTGTGTGTGTGTGTGTTTGTGAGGCAAACTGCCCGTTTTTATTTCAAACTGCCCAACTCGAGAGAGGAAGCTGAGCAAGGCCGTCCCAAGGAACGAGATCTGGAGAAAGGGCCACGTCCCCGAAGGACATGGGACATGGTGCCACGTGGCCTCGGCGAGTGGCTCTTAAGGGCTTCCTGCCCTGAAGTGTAAAAAGAGGACACAAATATTTTTTCTTTCTTTCTCTCGGGACGATCCTTCCCTGCTCTGGAAACGTGGAAAATGCTCCCACTGGACACGTCCCACGCCACGTGGAACCTTCTCTTGCATCCGTGGACGCGGCAACGTCCCACCGCCACGCCACTTTCCGGCCAATGTCGTCCAAAGTGGAAAAGTCCGATATAAAGTTTCTCGCGGCGGGCAAAAAAGTCTTGTAAAACTTGGCCCGATCTTGGGTTTGTTCGGCATGCTGGGAGGACGAGTCTTTTGTCAATAAATAAGAGATGGACGGGGGGAAAAAATAAGAAAAAAAATAAGAATAAGGGGAAAAAAAAACCTATCCAGGGTTCGCTTTGGAGATGGGAAGGAAGGGAGCTATTCTCCAACCTCCCGCCACCTTTTCACATCAAGGCTTCCAAACGCAGCCACGAGGGGTAGTAGAGGCACGGCCAGCTCTTTTGGTCCACATTTGGGGAGGGAATAGGTGCCCCCTCCTGGGCAGGGGGAGGTCGAGGTGGGGGAGGTGGAGTGAGGGGCGTCACAGGGTGCTTTCCAGCGTGTTGTAGTTGTCTTTGAAACTCTTGAGTTCCAGGAAGTGCTTGGCTCGTTTGCTCTTCTGGCTGGAAGGGAGGTAGGTGACCTGGATGGTGGGGCTGGAAAGGTCGGAGGAGTGGGTCAGGTCCTTGGCGGCCGACTGATGCTGCCGCTGGCTGCTCTCGCCCCGGGCTTTGATGCTGCGGGAAGAAGGGGCTACGTTTAAAGGCAAGGGAAAACCAGCCAACCAACCGACCCACCTGCCCAGGTGTGAAACCCAGATTCGGTTTCAGGGGGAGAAACCCCCCTGAAAAACCGCCGGGGACCTTCTAACACTGCGCTGTAGAGCAGGGGGTCTCCGACCTTGGCTGGCTGGGGAATTCTGGGAGTTGGAAGTCCTTCAGGGCTTCAAGTTGCCAAGGTTGGAGACCCCTGCCCTAGAGGGGATCTTAACTTACCTGCACCTGTGTGTGGTTTGCCAATTGCACCAGGGGCAGATAGGAAAGGACTCCAGAGGGTGAACCTCATTGCCCAGAGGATCCTGGGTTGCCCTCTCCCCTCTTTGGAAGAGCTTTAGAGCTCCCATCCATCTATCTATCTAGCCCTCTTCCTCCCTTCCCTTCCCTTCCTCCCTCATCACTGGAAGTTTTTAAGAAGAGACTGGACAGCCACCTGTCTGAAATGCGATATAGAATTTCCTGCTTAAGCAGGGGGTTGGACTAGAAGACCTCCAAGGTCCCTTCCAGCTCTGTTATTCTATTCTATTCTTTTTTCTTCCTTCCTTCCTTCCTTCCCATCCATCCATCCATCCATCCATCTACCCACCTTCCTATCTTCCTTTCTTTCCTTCCTTCCTATCTATCCATCCATCTACCCACCTACCTATCTTCCTTTCTTTCTTTCCTTCCTTCCCATCCATCCATCTAGCCACCTTCCTATCTTCCTTCTTTCCTTCCTTCCTTCCCATCCATCCATCCATCCATCCATCTAGCCACCTTCCTATCTTCCTTTCTTTCCTTCCTTCCTATCCATCCATCCATCTAGCCACCTACCTATCTTCCTTTCTTTCCTTCCTTCCTATCCATCCATCCATCTAGCCACCTTCCTATCTTCCTTCTTTCCTTCCTTCCTTCCCATCCATCCATCCATCCATCCATCTAGCCACCTTCCTATCTTCCTTTCTTTCCTTCCTTCCTATCCATCCATCCATCTAGCCACCTTCCTATCTTCCTTCTTTCCTTCCTTCCTTCCCATCCATCCATCTAGCCACCTACCTATCTTCCTTTCTTTCCTTCCTTCCTATCCATCCATCCATCTAGCCACCTACCTATCTTCCTTTCTTTCCTTCCTTCCCATCCATCCATCTAGCCACCTTCCTATCTTCCTTTTTTCCTTCCTTCCTTCCCATCCATCCATCCATCCATCCATCTAGCGACCTTCCTATCTTCCTTCTTTCCTTCCTTCCCCATCGCTGGAAGCTTTTAAGAGACATCTGCGTGAAGTGGCCTAGGGTTGCACTAGAAGACCTCTGAGGTCCCCTTCCCACTCTTTGGTTATCCAGCCCCCCTTTCCCTCGCCTGCAGCCCCTCTGCCAAACTCACATGGTTGCCAGCTCGTTCAAGGCCTCCTGGAAGCGGAGGAATTCCACTTTGCCGAATGCCTGTGGCAGAAAGAGAAGGGGGGAAAAACAAACAAACCCACCCGTGTCTTTTAAAGCTGCCTGAACTGGGAGGCTCGATGGACAGGCACCCCCTTCCCGCTAGCCACCATCCAGCCCCGGGAGCCAAAGGGGAGGGGGGGGAAGGACGACACACTCACCCCCGTCCCGTAGCGGGCGTTCTCGTATCCGTCCAGGAGGGCATCGATCAGAGTCTTGCGGAGCCCCTTCAAAGAGCTGCTGGAGTTGCAGAGATCCAACAGGTAGGTCTGGAAGTTTTTCTCCATCAGCAACTTGGGGTAGCGGCCTTCCATGGAGTAGGGGATCTCTGCGGAGGGAAGCGCAGGGGGGACACACGGTTCACGCCCACAAGCATGGCAGGGTTGGATTTCGTTTTTTTTTGAGGAGGGGGGGGGGCAACAATTGCTACAAGCCGATTTTTATTTTATTTTTATTTTTGCAACGAGCCCAGAGTTGGCCTGGGGCGTTGTGGAATCCTGCGACGGTTCAAAGACGCCCTTCCGGGGGAATAGGTATTTTTATCAATAACTTAGTTTTTTTTTCCCCTTCTGTTCAATGGTGTCTGATTTTTCAGAAGTTGTCTGGATAAAGAACTTATGTATATTATGATAAAGAAGAGGGGTTTTTTTTGTTTGTTTTTTGCAAGAGGGGCCATTTCTTCCTCCCTAGGACCGAGGGGGACAGGCCCAAAGTCACCCAATTGGCTCTCATGTCTAAGGCGGGACTAGAA